TTGTCTTGACCCGTAGGCGATGAATCTATAATTTTGTATTAATACACATCCTAAACCCTAACCTGACGCATTAGAATACACTGCATAACCCCTGATCCACTTGGTAGGGTTAATACTGGAGCTATCACAAGTCGATTTTTGAGTTCTCTGAAGATATTCTCAAAGTCTGGGGTCCATTCAAACTTAGTATCCTCTTTAGTAAGTCGGGTAAGAGGGGTTGCAATCTTAGAGAATCCTTTCATGAATCGGCAGTAATACCCAGCTATATCCAGAAATTTACTAACACTTTTCACGATAGTGGGACATTCTAATCCCATGATAGGCTCAACTTTTGCCAGATCCATAGCTACCCCGTCCTTAGAAATAACATGACTTAAAAGGCAATCTGTTCAAGCCAGAATGCACACTTACTCCATTTTCATATAACCTCTCTTTCCTAAGGGTTTTTAGAACTCGTCTCAAGTGTTCTACATGTTCTTCTCGACTCTTTGAATAAATCAATATATCATCAATAAATACAATAACACATTGATCTAACTAGGGCTCAAATATCCAATTTATCATATCCAAAAATACTGTCAGGGCATTCGTCAACCTAAAAGGTAAGATTAAGAACTCGTAATGGCCATATCTGGTTCTAAAGGCAGTCTTTGAAATATCTTTAAGTTTAATTCTTACCTGATGGTAACTGGATCATAAATTAATCTTGAAAAAAACTTGGGCCCCTTGCAAATGATTAAAAAGATCATCAATCCTGGGCAAAGGATATTTGTTCTTGATGGTGACCCGATTGAGTTCTCTGTAATCTATACACATTCGTTTGATTCAATCCTTCTTTTTGGAAAATGTCACAGGAACACCCCAAGGAGAGACACTAGGGCGAATGAATCCTTTCTCTTGGAGTTCTGTTAATTATTTCTTTAACTCTTCCATTTCAGCTCTTACTAGTCTATAAAGAGCTATAGAGAAAGGTTGAGTGCCTAGTTGTAGATCAATAAAGAATTCTATTTAACGGTCCGGCGATAACCCTGGAAGTTCATCAGGAAATACATCTGGATACTCTCGAACCACCAACACATCATAAAAATCAATGTCCTTATTTTTATCACCTACCACGTCAACCTCCACATGTTAGGTTTAATAAGTTGTACAACTTAAATAACTATAATATATTGTAAATGACACCATTCAATCATAAAATAAGAGTCTCTTCATTAGGAATATTAAATACAACCTTCTTGTTACGACAGTCTAAAGTCGCATAGTGAGCTCCTAGCCGGTCCGTTCTTATAATTATATCAAAATCCCCCCACATCTAAAAGTATCAAGTCTATCTTTAGCTCCCTACCAGTTATCTCTAATGTACAATTTTTATAGATAACATTAGAAAGTAATACATCCGCGCTTGGTATAGATATCATTAAAATATGCTTCAAATAAATAGGTGTAACACCCAATTGTAGTGCAAAAGTGTGTGACACGAATGAGTTTATGGAATAAGGATCTATTAACACCCTAGTTAAGTTCTTAGAGACAGGATACATACCTTGGACGACGCCTGGGTTTGCTTCAGTATCTGATGTTGTAAGGGTGTACACTCATCCCCGTCTTGGAGCTTCTGCCTGTTCCTTCATAAGTTGTGACTCATATATTGTTAGCTACCGCACTTGAAACAGGATCAAGTGATATGATTGCACGGCTGATTACCATGATTCTTTCCACAAGTACGGCAGGTCGGTGCCTTACCAGGAGTTGATGATGGTCTAGGAGATATCTCTGTTACCATTCTGGGCCTCTTATCTTGTGAACCAAACCTTGGAGTCAGCCTTCTCGGAGGCATAGGGGGTCTAGAACTACCTACTCCTGAGGATAAGCCCCTAAGTCTGCTTTGTACTATCTCTGCCTTTGCTAAGATTTCATCATAAGTATTCAGTTCTAGAACTACAAGAGAATCCAGAATCTTTAGGCGTAGACCCCACTGGAATTTTCTTGCCCTTTGTCCTTCATCAGTCAGCATTGCCAGAGCAAAATGAGTTAATTCAGTGAATCTCCAAGCATACGCAACTACTGACTGGTTCCCCTGAGTTAACTGCATAAATGCCAACTTCTGATGTCGAAGTCGTGCAGGAAAGTATTCGGCGAACGCCCCCAGAAACCTTTCCCAAGTGATGGGAACAGCTAAAGTAGTATGTCTAAATTCCCACCACCAATCAACTTTACCTACAAGTAAGTATGTAGCCGGAAGCACTTTCTGCTCAGAAGTTGCCCCCAAAACTCGGAATGCCTTTTCAACTGCTTTTAACCATCCTTTAGCTTCAATAAAATTCTTGGTACCAGCAAAGGTAGGAGGATTAAGTTTCATAAACTTTCCATGACAATCTGGACCCATAATGATTGGTTCTGGATTATATGGAACTAGTACTGAGAGAGGACCAGGTATCCCTTCCATAGGATGATTAACAAGCTCCTCTACCATATGATACAACTGATCAATGTGTTCCCGTAAGCACATATAATCAGGATGTTGCCCCGGTGGAGGTTATCCACGTCTCATTTTATAACCTTACATCCAGAAAAGAATGAATTAGAACATTCCTACTCTTCAACATCCCAAATGTTGCAAGAAATCATATTTAAACTCTAAAACCTCATGCACAAGGGATGATTCTAGAGATGTGGGCTTTAATACCACCTATAACACCCCACACTTGATATGAGGTGTAATTCCTACTCATGCCCTATTCATGCAATAGGCCCACAAAATATACATATACATATATCAAAATTTATCATACAACCTAGTATCCCATGTGATATATACAACAACTATATATATAGAACATAAGGTCAAAATTTAGAGTTTAACAAAACAGAACGAAAATTTCTCGAATATTCACAAAATATACAAAACATGAACCTTTTTTACAGGTTCTATTCGTTTAGCAGCGGTTCTGGCTATTATTTCTCCTCTAAAAAAATCAAGGTGAATTTTAATGAGGTTCACCAACTCAATAAATATT